GCAGCACTCACTAACTCACGAAATTTATTAAAATCAAACTTAGAAGCACACATAGATATGGATCCAGATGACAGAGATAAAAGCAACTGACCTATGTCCCGTGTATCCCTCCTAACACACGAATCTATATGCCTGTTTAAATTACCAGTGCCATACCTGCCCTCCGCAATATACTCAGTCCCACACTTCTTACATCTGCATCTTCTTTTCTTGTCTTTACCGTATATCATAGTGCAACCAAACTTTTGATGTGAGTTTTCTTTTGCGCTTCGTGTCCTGTTTCTTTTTCGGTTGCACTTGCACATCTGCATTTTCATTCTGATCCACTTCAAGGTCAATTAAATCAAGATCATCTTCTGATCCACTTTCGTCAAGTCTCATGGCAGAATCCATCTAAATATTACCAAAAATAAAAAATAAAAAAATAAATCAAACATATATAATAATTAATAAAGAGGACATATATAATAATGATTTGTTATAGTACGTAGAGAGCGTAGTAGTAAAATAGTATGGGAATGCTGATTTTTCACATATATGCAAAGGGAAAGAAACTAGTATTATTGCATTGCTGATGACATTTTTATGGCGAAATCTTATTATTTCAATTCAGAGTCCATCTGTATAGAGGGAATTTCATTCCTCACAAATTAATGCCCATAAAAGAATTTAATAAAAAAGATTAAAGAGATTTTTGTCAGCAAGTAGAAATGTTTATTCTTAGATTTCTAAAAAGGATCCATTAAATGGTAGCAATACAGTATTCATTGTGTTGTTGCAGTTGTAAACAATAAATACTCCTACACTTGCATTTCTAATTAATCAACACAACCAGTTGGATTCAAAACAATAATAAAAAATAAAATAAAAAAATTCGTGATATATACCGTAAAATACTAGATCATACCATATTGGCATACTATTATGATATTATCCTCTTCTTTATTTTATTTTATTTTTTTCCTTTCACATATCCCATATGTCGTATAAGTTTCAGCCTTTCTAAAAATACAATTGAATAAAACAAATATGGACCAACAAACATAGTACAAATGTACTAAATTGAAAACAAAACCACAAGAAGAAGAGGAAGAAAGTGGTATCATTAACTTTTAAAATCCAACAAACGCTCAGCTAAATGGAAAGAAAAAAGAGTACTAAAGAAAGCTGTGCATGTCAGAAAGCTATAAAAATTGATAGCTATTATTGGCTTTTTAATTATCCAGGCATATTTGCTAAGTAAATCTCCTCTAGTTGACATCACAAACTGATATTTCAATGTCCAGACAAATAATTTTCCTTAAAACTGACATTGTTGATATCTGTCTACTACTAGGGTGTGTTTGGAGGCAATGTTGAGTAAGAATGACTCCTTATTGTCCATGGCATGCTATGATGCTATGATTGCTATCTATTGGTTCTGAATTGCAGTTAAAATTGGGGTCTTGAACTACTCAAATGGTTCTACTAACTTTTATTCTCACTGAAGGTCTCAAGCAGCCATTTCCAAACCGAAAAAAGGAAAAAGGAACTCTGGAATAACCCTTGTTAAAGTCTCCTAAATTGGGTGGTACTGGTACTTGGTCAACAACAAAACGAGAACTTTTTAAAAAATGGGATGAGAAGAAGAAGTTTCTGTAGAAATTTGCTATGATGTCTACTACTAAACTTTAATTGAATCTTCACAATAAACAATGAGTTCCAACCTTGATGCTGTAACTAGGCAATTACCGAAACATTTAAGTGAAATTAACATAGAAGAGTAAAAATCAGTAACAGAGCATAAAACTATAAATAGAATAGAATCATTACTATAAACAATAACAAATAATTACATGTTTAAAAGTAGATCTGAAAGAAAAAAATTAAAGAAAACTTGTTTTCAAGTAGATCTGAAAGAGGAAAAACAAAAAAAATCGACCTCTTGTTGTTTCAGAGTAGATCTGAAAGAGAGAAGACAAAAAAATTAAAGAAAAGTAGAAAACTTACTTCGATTGTTCAAGGTTTGTGTTCTTCGCTGGTTCGCTCGAAGTGTAGACTGTAGTGTTCTTGAACTTCTTGGTCGCTCGAGGTGTGCTGGTGTGGTGTGGATTTGAGAGAGAGAAGGAATTGTCTGGTGTTGAATCTTTCAGAGAGAGAGAGAGAGGGGAAAGAGGAGAGACCGAGAGGTCCGAGAGAGAGAAGGAAGAGTGAAGGCGCCGCGTAAGGTAAGACTGAAGAGTTGTCTGGAGACTGGACCGACTGGTGTTGAATTTGTTGATATATTTTGTATAATAGCCTTAATAGGGTTTATTGTGTAATAATAAAATGACCAAAATGTCCCTAATAATCAGGTCAAAACAGGTAACGGGTTAGACGTGTTCACGGGTGACACATTTAATTAAACGAGTTAAACGGGTTAAACGGGTTGAGCCATATAAACCCGAACATGACACGTTTAACTAAACGGGTTATTCGTGTCAACCCGTTTACGACACGAACCCGTTTATGGTAAACCCATTACCCATTTAACTCGTGTCGTGTACGTGTCGTGTTGGCTGGTCGTGTCGAACTTTGCCACCCCTAGATCGACTCTCCCTTATGTTGCTTCACAGTAAGTAGGTAGGTGGCCGGCCTCCTATACCTTTGACCTGCAATGAAGTAGCTCACAAACTGCTTACTCAGTTCTTCGAAGGTGTTGATGGTTCCTGGCTTCAGCTTGTTGAACCAAACTCTTGCCGATCCCTTAAGTGTAGTGGGAAAAGCTTGGCACATGATTTCATCTGGCACGGCGTGTAAATGCATGAGAGCTTGAAAGGTCTCCAGGTGATCGAGGGGATCTTTGGTCCCATCGAAGCTTTCGAATGAGGGCATCCTGAACTTGCTAGGCAAGGGGCATTTCATAACGGCGGGGCTGAACGGCAAGTTGGTCCTCTGCACCAGGTTATCTATGGCGGCAGGACATGTCCCTTTCATAGCCTGCATTACATTTTCCATTTTCGCCTTAAGATCATCGATCTGCAGGTCAAAATAGCTAACTTTCTGTGTCTTTTCCTTAACACAGAAGGTTGTGCCTGTCTGAGACTGGGGATTCCGCGGAGGCGGAGTAGGAGGTTCTCTGTGTCGGTTTCCGACTTGACTTTGTTCTGCCTCGAACTCGTGAGGGGGATCGTTTTCTCGGTCCTCCTCGTTTTCTCCCCCATCATTCAGATTGGGAGGATATGGGTTGGACAATTCTTGTTGAGGTGGTGGTCCCGCTGGGATAAGATGTTGCAAGATCTTTACATTTTGTTGGATCAACTGGTCCATACCCTGATTCAGAGTTTGGACCTGTAGTTCTAACGTTGCAAGCCGTTCCTGGTCATTCAGGACGTTTGGGTGTTCACCCGACCCTTCTCTTTGATTGGATCCCTGCAACGATGTTTCTTTTCCAGTTACCATATCGGACCGCAAGTGCATATATCCAACCGAGTAATTTATTGATTTAAGGGAATCGTCGTTTCCCACAGATGGCGCCAACTGTTGGTGGAGAAATCCACGATGTCCGGTACGGCACCGTTTTCCTGCAAAGAAAAGACTAGAAGATTGATGAAGCTTGACGACACCGGTGTGGTGCCTGCCAAGAGCTCTCTGACGATCGAGTCAGTCACCAAAGGTCTAAAAGAAAGGTAGGGATTTAATAATCATTTTTTGTCGTACCTTTATTAACTGGTAGGATCTCATTATTATAGCCGCTTTCCCTTAGTTCATTTGCGAGATCAGAGGAGATCGTTTGTTGCCAGATTTGTCGGGAATATGATTTACTCCTTTGTCTTTCTCAAATTATGCCAAAGTTACCCTTACCCTGTTGAACCACGTCGTTTTTCATTATCCTGGATAAGAAATATCATCATTCTTATCCGATGGAAATCTTTATCTTTGATAACGAAATATTTCGAAAGTCAAAGAGGTCTGACGGCTGGTCAACACTTAGTTGCCTCTATCATTAGGTCAAGGTAGGTTAGGTTTATTTTTCCCTATCAGTGACAATCTTGTTCCCCAATCCCAAAGTGGAAGTATGAACTTAAAATCAACACAAACTAAGACTCAAATTAAAGCAAAAATGGGTAAAGCCTGAGTGGAATCCATAAGAAATTAAAAATGTACTCTTTTTCTTGTTATCATACTCTGGATCATATTGTGCTCAACTTAATGCTTTTATCTCATATTGTTAGTTGCTACTGCTAAGGAATGGGTATTCGTACCCTAATTCTTCCACTTTGTAGGTTTTCTTGTGTGTTTTTTTTTTTTTGGTAACTTAATTCCTCTCTTTGATTGCCAGTAATGTTGTTAATGCCAATGTGGAGTTTATGAGAATAGTTATGAGGATTACATTTATTTAGACTCAATAAAATTCAGTTGTCTTTTTTTTTTTCTTAGTTGGTACTCACACACCCATGCCTCCACTGAGGTTTGAACCCATGACCTCCCTTTAAGAAGTAGGGACTTAGTACCGCTGGGCCACTCGCCCGTTGGTAATTCAGTTGTCTTTTTAATCATGCGGTATGATATTACTATATGAGTTAACTATTAAACATCTTTTCTCCATCATTTCTGCAATATATTCTTCTCTCTCCGCATTAGGATATTCATTAGGTTGGATAAATCTTGTGTATGCGTGAGTTTGTGTTTAAGGATAAGTGTGGAAGTGGGTGTAAATAAATGTGTGGTACCCCAAATTCTCTGTGATTTTTCTGTCTTCTCAAATATATATATATTTTTTTTATCTCATTATTACTTTTTTACCAAAAATAAAAGATGTTGAGGCTTAAGAATTGGAAGTTCAAACTTTATGACCAAAAGAAAATAAATAAGAAAGAAGAGTTGAGATTCTATCTCCTGCTTTAGATTTTCACCTTATGAAACATGGCAATATCTTGACCGTAAGGCCCAATTTGTGTTGTTCTTGGATACGCTCAATTTTATCCATGGTTAAAAGAATGGTCTATAGAATTAATGCTGAATTCTTGTTTGTTTTGTAGGCAATGGGTAGGGCGGCAATATCTCTTTCAAAGTTGGCGGACACTGCTACTAAGGAGCTCCCTAGTACAATGGCTGCAATAAGGTTATCGGGCATGGAAATTAGTGATCTTACCCTTGAATTGAGTGACTTGAGGTAACAGAATAAATCCTTCCATGTGGCACTTTTTTCTTTTTCTTTTTTGTCTGCCTTCATCACGAGGTAGATTGATATCCATTCCAATTGTTGCCTTAATTCGCTGGCCTTTGTAGGCAACCAACGGACTCCCTGTAGAAGCATATTGTAAATGCAGAAAATAAATTTTAGATGACAAAATGTTCTTCATAATAAGATGGTTTCCCAACTCCAAAAGACCGAGTCTCTCATTAAGGCTATGCATTGGTAGCTTGATATTTGGGTCTAAAAAACTTTGTTTTTTTTCCTTATTTTGGCTGAGCTTTGTTTCATAGCAAGGGAGAGGGTTGCATATAAGAAAAGGAGTAATGCTACCACATAGCCAAAAAGTAATGCACAAATTATATCATCACGTAGTCAATATTAAAGTGACACCATTTTAAAAAAAATCAGCTCAAAATACCATAAAATTAAATTATACGAGACAATCAAAGATGATGGTTCAATTTCTTCAAATGAAGTCAAAAGAAAGAGAATATTATTAAAGTTTGACTGATATGTGTGATCTATTTTGAATTAATTTTGATACAAAATTTGAGTATATAATCTTCATACAATCCTCTTTCAAAAGTTTAAGGCTTGCTTGGTTTGCCACTCAAAAAACAGTTATCAAGAACTCAGGAAATGGAAAACTGTTTTTAGAGAACTATAAAAGAGATTTCTCTGAAAATAGGCTCTTTTTTTTTCTTTTTCTTTTTTTTTCTTTTTTTTAACTGAGTTTTCAAAAATCGTCAACCAACCTGATTTTTGTATGGTTTTATGGGTTTAAGTTATCAGAAAATCGAAAACTGTTCTCAAAAAACTGAACCAAGTAGGCCCTTAGATTTTTGCATCTATATTATGATCACGACAAAACGACAGAGAGCTCATGAAAACTTTCATGAGATCAACCACATGATAGCATTACTCTAAGAAAACTCTTAGCTAACCAAGGTTCATGAAGCGCTATATTTATGCATTCTGGTGATTCCATTTTTTCCTTCGAAGGAAAACTAATTACTCTTTTGTTTAAGCATATCTAAATACAGTGCAATACATAATAACAGGTTTTGGTTGGTTTATTCTGCTGAGTCTATCCCTTTTATTTTTGTTGGCACAAAATCTTTGTTGGATTTGTGAAGTTTCCATATCGTTATGTCCAGCGAAATATCTTAACCAATACACTAACCATGTTGTTGATTTTACCACCTTAACCAAAACTGATGGCTATAGATGATCAATATCTAAGCTTCTTGATCTTTAATAGTCACTCTTTATTATGTCAGTAAGCGCTAAAGATTCTATTGACTCAACATCAGATAAATATTACAAACTTGGGCTTTTGTTACATACATAATGACACTAACTTCCAACAAAATAATAATAAACATTCTAATTCTAATAATTTCTTGTATTTGTTTGAGGGCTAATGTGCTCCAAAGTTATTGGGCAGAAATTTTAGAATTTTAAGTGCTCCAAATATTTGTCTTAACATTTTTATATTTTTTTCATGAGTTTAGACATGCTCATGTTGTATTTATAAGAATTCTTAAGTACACAATATTATTAGGAGCTAGCGCTCTAATTTTGTAGAAACTTACTATTGAAGATTTAATAGAGGAATCGGTGGAGAAAAATCTTTCAGTATGTTGTTTCCTATTATTGAAGATTTAGTGTTACTGGAGGAATCAGTGGAGAAAAATCCTCCTTGTTCCCTATTTCCTATCTCTTTTCATTCTTATAATTTCTTCTCCTATATAAAGGAGCTTCCATAATTGTAATGTGTATGAATTGAGAGAGTATTATAAAAGTGATGTACCTTTGGGCTCTTTGTGCCATGGATGTGGATGTAGGCCCTAGTGGCTGAACCACGTAATATCTGTTTGTTCTACTCGTTTTATTTATCTCTTCACTTTCGATTTATGTTTTACAAGATGGTATCAGAGCCTAATTTCTCTTCCTAGGTTCAGACCCCTATTTTAGGGTATTCCCTTAGCATCTAAAATGTTGCTAAGGGTTTCTCGGTACTATTTGTGACTTGTTTGGGCTGCCGGTTTGTTCGGCAGTAATGTTCTTTGCCTTTGCCATGTCTCTGTCAGGTTTTTGTTGACTTGTTTGGACTGTCGGTGTGTTCGGTAGCAATGTCTTCATCTTTGCCATGTCTTCGGCAGTTTTATCGACTTGCTTGGGCTACTGGTGTGTTCAGTAACATTGTCTTCACCTTTGTCATGTCTCCGACAGTTTTTTGCTGACTAGTTTGGGCTGTCGGTGTGTTCGGTAGTGTTATTCTTCGTTTTCTCTTTTTTCTCTTCATCATTCACATTTGTTGCTACTTTTCATCTCAATGGCAAGTTGGGCATTCATGCTCCAACTTGAGGGGGAATATTGAAGATTTAATAGAGGAATTAGGGGAAAATCTTTCAATAATTGATGTTGTTTCCTATTATTGAAGATTTAGTGTTACTGGAAGAATTAGTGGAGAAAAATCATCCTTGTTTTCTATTTTCTATCTCTTTCCATTCTCATAATTTCTTCTCCTATATAAAGGAGCCTCCACCATTATATTTTGTATGAATTGAGAGAGTATTGTAAAAGTGATGTAGCCCTTTGGGCTCTTTGTGCCGTGGATATAAGCCCTAGTGGCTGAATCACGTACTATCTGTGTGTTCTACTTGTTTTATTTATCTCTTCACTTCCGTTTTAAGCTTTACAACACTTACAATTCTCAATCTAACCCAACTATGTGATACCAAATGCCCCCTTCACTAATCCAGCACACGATTCCAATTTCAACAATCTTGGAGTGATATAGAGGGTATGGAAGCAAATAGATGGTCCAAGGGCAAGGAGTTGGTGATGATTTGTTCTTTATTGTGGCGTTCTGATCAGAAGGGGACAAGTCCTGGTATTTGATTGGAGAGCTTGCTGAGATTGATAAATATTTTGAAGTCACCTTGTCCTGGCGATCGAGTACTCAAGATCAATTTGGTTTGTTGTGATGAAGGGGGTGTCTCATGCATGGGCAGACCCGAGAGTTTTTGCTTGGGGAACCAGTATGAAAATAAATTATGAGGTAATAGTAAGAAATTTTAGTATATATCCTTAACAATAAAGATAATAATATAAGAGGTTATTTACAAATGAAAAGTACTTTAGAATGCTTAAGTGTATAAAATGAGAAAAATGGAAACAGGGATTCCATTTTTTTTTCCTTCTCTTTTTCTTTCTCTCAAAATGTAAGTAAATAAGGTAAACAGTAGCCCAGATTGAACCATTGAGGCTTGTTTATATGTTTTGAAGGGGCCACAAATATATATATATATATTCAGAACGTACTATTTATATGATACCTATTTAATTGGGTTTTTCTCAAAAAAAATAAATAAATGGTGGGGTGAGTGGGGGAATGCTCCCAAAATCCCCATGTAGGTCCACCCATGTTTTACGTTGTTGCATTACCTCTGCTTGAGCAGGATGGACACTAAACGTGCAGATAGATGCATGTCAAAGTGATGGTATTCCTGATGGATTCGCATGTCCTTAAGGCAGGACATCCAAATATGAAATTGGTATGACTGCTTCTTTAGACTGCTTCTTTTGACCTATGTTCTTTGAATCGTCTCTTGGGAGGAACTCTAATTTTGGAATATCAAATTTTCCGCCCGGTGTTTTGATGCATAGCTGCTGGGGTGGTGCTGCCAGTTGCTTGAGACTAGTCCTTTTGAGTGGAATAGGGTATATTTAGACCAATTGTAATGTTCGCTACCAAGTTCATGCGTTTCAAAGCTTTGACCCAAGTTATGTTGGGTGAGGGACCCTATGGTTATGTTTGGCTGCTGTGCTTTGTCTTTCTTTTTTATTTTGTACTGGACTTGTGGCCTATAAAAGGTTTTCATCTGTTGCTTCTGAGGTGATTGATGTCAATACCAAACTTTACGTAAAATAATGTCACTATCTCGAGAATAATACTAAATGTTAACTTCTTTAATCTTACCCCTTCTATAACCATGTCTTGGCAGAACCCAAAGGGTAATCTTACACTTAGGGCCTTAGGTGAAGTTAACTATGCGAATCTTACAGCCACTTGGCTGATGTTTGTATGTATTATGTTCCTGATAGGGACAAGTGTTGTTATCTGTTAGAGGATTTATTTTATTATTAAGGGTAGACTTGTCTTTTCCTTCTTTTTAGTTAGGGCATATTCTGTGTGTGTGTATATATATATGCATTGTAATACGGAAAATATTTACGATTCACTAATATAGCATTAGTTCTAAGTTTTCAGTATCCACTATATTGTTGTGATAGTCAATACTTTACAGTTTCTTGTGTTGGGGAAGACCATCCACTACGATAAATATGGTGAACGTGGATAGGTGGCCGATTATATCAGCTTAAGTGTATTATGTAAACTAGTATAATCCAACTCTCTGTTTTGGTCCTGCTTCCCCCCTTTTTTTAAATGACTGTTACATTTGGGAGCACCGAATCGGTGCCTTGGATTTGGGATTGGAGGAAGTTTAGTTCAAATTTTGTACTAAACTTTCTCCAATCCCAAATCCAAGGCGCCGATTCAGTGTGGCCAAACATTGCAAACATGTATTTCAGTAGTTTTTCATTACTCTTGCTTAAACCATATACCAGTAATGATTTTGGACTTAATATGGTTTGTTCCATCTGGCAGCCAAGAGATAACTGATGGGGTTAACAAATCCACTCAAGCTGTGCAAGCAGCAGAAGCTGGAATTCGACAAATAGGTTCTTTTGCTCGAGAACAGACTATGTGTATGTTTACACTCTTTTCTACTTTTATGTCTAACAGTTATCTTCTCTCTCTTTTACCAGAATTATTGTAAGTATATGCTCTCTGTTTCTATAAACAGCAATGATTCAGGAGAGGGCAAACCTACCCATCATCTCTTTGCAACCAGTTGTTGCAGGGGCAGCAAAGAAGACATCCCGTGCCGTTGGCCAAGCTAGAAAAACCCTCATGAGTATCATCTCCCGAGGCGAGTTTAGCTTGGAGAATGATGATAGTGATACAGTGGATAGGTTAGAATCTTAGAGCTTGGAAAGTCCATATTCTTTTGTTACCCTTTCTGTGGATCATAGACAAAGAAGGCATCAACCCAAAAAGTGTAGTTTATTCAGACAATTTATATGCATAGATAATTTAAGGTCTATATGGCATATGAGAATTAGAGTACCTAAATAGATAGAATTGCAGATTGGCACAACCATTATGCATGCTTCTTTATGCGTGCACATGCATTTGTATATGACCATATTTATACGTCCACTTTTACATTTTTTGGATTGGAAAGGAAAATGACTTTATTTATTTATTTATTTTTATCCCCCTAGGAAAATGAGACTTAACTCATCTTAAGTTGTCAAAAAAATGATACTGTAGCAGATTGGTTTCAATGTGTGTGTGTTGGGGGGGGGGGGGGGGGGGGGACACAAGAGGTTAAGAATAACCATTTTAGGATTGTCTTTTCGACGGATAAGAATCCTCTCCAGCGTTGGAGAGGTCCTGCACAGAATCCAGTGGTTAAGATCTCCAGCGTTGGAGAGGTCCTGCACAGAATCCAGTGGTTAAGATTGAATTGATAACTGGGACCTACTGGTAATGATGCAATTTTAACCACTGGATTCTGTGCAGGACTTCTCCAACGCTGGAAAGGACATCCTTGTCCTTTCTCAACCATGGTTACTTGGTGAAAGCATATAAGCTCTAAAATTACATGAAAATCGATCTTGAATCAAGGCTGGTTTGGTGACATTTTCATTTTCTTAATTTTTAAAAAAATGAAAATAGTGAAAAGTCCTGGAATTGTAATTCTTAAATAGTTCATATTAATGGACTCAATTTTTGTTTTTTTAGCATAAAATTATTTTAATAGTCTTATGAAAACTAGTTATTTTCGAGAATATTTTGTAAATGTACTTCTCCCTCCACTTTGAGAAAGATTTACATTGGCTCTCTTGGTGTTGGTATTATTACCTAGTAGTTTTTTCCTATGTTAAGGTTATGTTTGCATATCTTAATTCAAATTTGGTAATGGAAAGTTACCAATGGATTATTGTTCCCCTTCCTCAATCTCTCGTGCTTCTCGGTTGTTAAGCATGCACCTAAGTCGCATAAAATGGGAGTGAGAACGAAACCGTGAGGGGGGGGGGGACACAAGAGGTTAAGAATAACCATTTTAAGACTGTTTTTTCGACGGATAAGAATCCTCTCCAACATTGGAGAGGTCATGCACAGAATCCAGTGGTTAAGATTGAATTGATAAATGGGACCTACTAGTAATGATGCAATTCAATCTTAACCACTGGATTCAATCTTAACCTACTGGGACTTATTGCATCATTACCAGTAGGTCCCATTTATCAATTCAATCTTAACCACTGGATTCTATGCAGGACTTCTCCAACGCTAGAAAGGACATCCTTGTCCTTTCTCAACCATGGTTACTTGGTGAAAGCATATAAGCTCTAAAATTACATGAAAATCGATCTTGAATCAAGGCTGGTTTGGTGACATTTTCATTTTCTTAATTTTAAAAAAAATGAAAATAGTGAAAAGTCCTGGAATTGTAATTCTTAAATAGTTCATATTAATGGACTCAATTTTTGTTTTTTTAACATAAAATTATTTTAATAGTCTTATGAAAACTAGTTATTTTCGAGAATATTTTGTAGATGTACTTCTCCCTCCACTTTGAGAAAGATTTACATTGGCTCTCTTGGTGTTGGTATTATTACCTAGTAGTTTTTTCCTATGTTAAGGTTATGTTTGCATATCTTAATTCAAATTTGGTAATGGAAAGTTACCAATGGATTATTGTTCCCCTTCCTCAATCTCTCGTGCTTCTCGGTTGTTAAGCATGCACCTAAGTCGCATAAATGGGAGTGAGAACGAAACCGTGAAGGGGGGGGGGACACAAGAGGTTAAGAATAACCATTTTAGGACTGTTTTTTCGACGGATAAGAATCCTCTCCAGCGTTGGAGAGGTCCTGCACAGAATCCAGTGGTTAAGAATCCAGTGGTTAAGATTGAATTGATAAATGGGACCTACTGGTAATGATGCAATTTTAACCACTGGATTCTGTGCAGGACTTCTCCAACGCTGGAAAGGACATCCTTGTCCTTTCTCAACCATGGTTACTTGGTGAAAGCATATAAGCTCTAAAATTACATGAAAATCAATCTTGAATCAAGGCTGGTTTGGTGACATTTTCATTTTCTTAATTTTTAAAAAAATGAAAATAGTGAAAAGTCCTGGAATTGTAATTCTTAAATAGTTCATATTAATGGACTCAATTTTTATTTTTTTAACATAAAATTATTTTAATAGTCTTATGAAAACTAGTTATTTTCGAGAATATTTTGTAGATGTACTTCTCCCTCCACTTTGAGAAAGATTTACATTGGCTCTCTTGGTGTTGGTATTATTACCTAGTAGTTTTTTCCTATGTTAAGGTTATGTTTGCATATCTTAATTCAAATTTGGTAATGGAAAGTTACCAATGGATTATTGTTCCCCTTCCTCAATCTCTCGTGCTTCTCGGTTGTTAAGCATGCACCTAAGTCGCATAAATGGGAGTGAGAACGAAACCGTGAAGGGGGGGGACACAAGAGGTTAAGAATAACCATTTTAGGACTGTTTTTTCGACGGATAAGAATCCTATCCAGCGTTGGAGAGGTCCTGCACAGAATCCAGTGGTTAAGATTGAATTGATAAATGGGACCTACTGGTAATGATGCAATTAACCACTGGATTCTGTGCAGGACTTCTCCAACGCTGGAAAGGACATCCTTGTCCTTTCTCAACCATGGTTACTTGGTGAAAGCATATAAGCTCTAAAATTACATGAAAATCAATCTTGAATCAAGGCTGGTTTGGTGACATTTTCATTTTCTTAATTTAAAAAAAAATGAAAATAGTGAAAAGTATTGTAATTCTTAAATAGTTCATATTAATGGACTCAATTTTTGTTTTTTTAACATAAAATTATTTTAATAGTCTTATGAAAAATAGTTATTTTCGAGAATATTTTGTAGATGTACTTCTCCCTCCACTTTGAGAAAGATTTACATTGGCTCTCTTGGTGTTGGTATTATTACCTAGTAGTTTTTTCCTATGTTAAGGTTATGTTTGCATATCTTAATTCAAATTTGGTAATGGAAAGTTACCAAAGGATTATTGTTCCCCTTCCTCAATCTCTGGTGCTTCTCGGTTGTTAAGCATGCACCTAAGTCGCATAAAATGGGAGTGAGAACGAAACCGTGAAGGTGGTAAAATCTAAGAGCAACCGGTATAGCGGTAAAATCTAAGAGCAACCGGTATACAACCGGTTGGCTAAGCTGAGGTGGCTGATAGCAACTTTGACATATATTTATGGACCCAATACTTTAAAAGAGAGAAATAAAGAAAAGAGATAGAATGAAAGAAAAATGAAATGGGACTAAGAGATAGAATGAAAGAAAAATGAAATGGGACTCACAATTTTGTTGTTGCAATGGCACTTTTTTTTTTTTTGTGACGCAATGAGTTTTTAGTCATTTCAGTTGCAATTTTGGTTTTAGCCACAGGTAGCAACATGCAAATCCTAACTAAACTGGAAGTGTTTTTAGTCATTCCAATTGCAATGTCAAACATGTTTCTACTGTGGCGCAATGATATTTCTTGGTAGCGATGAGATTTTCATGATTCAACTAATTCAAAAACAAAAATTGTGAGTGGAACAAGTCCATGAATGTTTGTGATTTAATTAAAAATTTGCTTGAGCAAGTATATTTATATAATTTGATTTGATTAAGGTTATCCTGCTATGCTAGGGTATTGGCATGCACTATGCACTCATCATATTTATCTATTCCTTTTTTGTTATTTTACTACGTTAGTACACTTTTATATATAGTGCGCTTATGTTTCTCATGAGGTGAAACCCATTATATGAATATCTACTTTATTATTTTATTATTATTTTATTTATTTATTTAAAAAATTAAATGAACTTTTTTTAAAAAAATATTATTTTCAATGATTTTTAATTTTTTTTTTTAAATGTAAACATGTGTTTGCAAACTCAGAGGCTTAGGTGGAAACAACTAAAAAAGAAAAGAAAGAATTTTTTTTTAAAATTTTTTTAAGAGTTTGGATAGATAGAAAGAGAAAGTTTATGGAAAATTTAGTTTGCAAAAATTTTATTTTCACGTGAAAGACGCGCCCTATTTATTTGCAGTTCCTATTTTATCTAGTGACTTAATCGTGCAAAGTTCTCTCCAAAACAACTTCTATTATGAGGTAAATTCTCTCTAAATTCTATTATGAGGTAAGTTCGCCTTATATATGCAGATATCAATGATAATTTGGGTAAAATTTCTTAAAATAAATTCGGCTTCTAAATAGAATTTTTTATTATTTTTAATTATCTATTCTATGTTGCAAATCTAGTCACTCATAATCCGCAAATATATATATATATATATATATATATATATATATATATATATGTATATGTATATTTTATATGGTGAAATATTTGATTTTTCTCCCAAACAATAGTACTACCTCTTCATCTCTAATTTTTTATTTTTTTTAATTTATTTATCTTAAACTAATAATTCGTTTTACTTAAGAAAATATTATGAAGCCCTTATTCTAAATATATAAATAATAGAAATGAATATAAACAATTATATATTTGAATTTAATAATCCATCATTTTATTTCATAAGGGTAGTTTTGGTATGCATAATCACTTTCTTTTCACTTTTATTCTATCCAAACTAATAAACTAATATTTTTCTACAATATTCTTATATAAATTTTCATGCTAACCAAATGTATGCTAGAAAATCTATTTTCTTTTCATTCACTTCACTTTCTATTTCTTTTTTTTTTTCTTGTTTATTTCCATCTAACCAAACAGAGCGACGAGTGAGAGAGAGAAATATGTGAAACTAGTAAAGTGAAGATTCTCATGTGAAGAACCGACAACAGAGGGTTTCAATATATACTCTAATCGATCGGTTCTTCACACCAAGTCCCCTCCCTACTTTCTATAGATATTATCTATTATTTATTGCATCTCGATACTCTTACGCGAGTTTAACATCCATCAAAACGAAACGTCAAGTCACGTCACTTACTTATCAAAACAAAAATTGTTAGTATATTGGGTTGCAAGTTTAACATCTATCAAAACGAAACGTCAAGTAACATCACATCACTCATTTATTAAAACAAAAATTATATCAGTGAAATTTCACCGTGAGAGGTGAAATTTCAAAATTCATGTAATGAAGTGTGCACCTTGGGTAGTTTGAGAAAGAAAAG